TGCATCAGCGATCGAATGCCTCCCTGCGCTGACCTAAAAACCATAACTAAATCATCTTAATTCCGACAATCAGCACTCACTTCGAAACGTCTTCATAGTGCAGTAGACCGTAGGGTTCATCAGAGATAACCTGAAGAAAAATTTCGCGCGCCACAAAATTACCCAAACTAATTATGAACCATGGAATCAATTCTTTCAGCGATTGAGGGAAAAAATCGATTAAAATTTCCGCGAAAAAACTCACATCTGTGGCCAGCTCGAAATCATTAACGCTGAATTCAGAATCCAAACACTATGCGGTGAGAAAATACACACATCATCAACTACGTGCGTCGATGACTATGGAAATTCTGCAAATTCTTTTCCGTAACTTTCCGTGACTTTCCGTAACTTTTCCGAAACTTTCCGGGCTTCCCGTAAACTCCTACTCTAATACCAAACTCACCAGAAAATCATATTTCACCGCAAGCTCCATTACCGCCTTCTGCCGACCAACGCTCATCACAGTTCCCTGTGGGTTGTGATGCACAGGTACTAACAATACAATCCATCACAATATTTAATGCCGTTATTACTCGTATATAACGCGGAAACCTTTTCTCTCCTCAGGATGCTCTCGAGCTCGTCCGGGATAAGGCCTTCCTCATCTATCGGCACTGGAATCAGTGAGGCACCTATCAACGCTTACGCATAGTAGCGTGTTTTTTTCTGATCAAATTCGAGAAAAAAAATCAATTTTTCTCGTTTTTCTGAGCTCCCACATGACTCAGCGTACAAATCCCGCATAAGCCACCCAGAATGTCACCAAATTTCCTCATTGTCACCAAACCCCTGCACTACCAACTTCCTTGAAAATGTTTCCCGCCAAAAAATAGGTATTATTTTCCACCAACACGACCGATCCTGAAAGACTCCATCCCTTACCACAATTCATCGTCAACATCACTACTACCAGGGCCTCCCACGATGCCCTTCGCGAGAATACTAAGTGCCGCGGAAATTCCCGAGGAAAGAACAAGGTGATCAGGCTGAACGGCTGTGCTGTAGGAGCTCGATAGCATCTGAGAAGAAAGATCCAGAATAGGTCCAGTAAGATGACTGTGAAATTTGACGTGTTATCATACAATGGATTTTCACCACCCTAGTGATATGAAAGACATACTTCACGACTACTGCATATCACGGCGATTCTCGGGTTTTTACCCATTAGTTTTACGCCATTTCACGTAAAACGGGTGAAACTAAATTGCATGATACATTAGTACTTTATATTACATACGAACATAGTAAAAATAACGGTATGGTTACTAGGTCTGCATGTGAAAATATAAATATTTCTATGAAGGATTTCAATACGATACCATAAGATGCCCTCATTACATTATAGGAATAACTACATGTATTAATAATACCACAATAAATACCATCTAGTGGAGTTT